GAAGAGAATCAGTGATCAGAGTCTGGCCGATAGAATCATCTCACACCTGAAGTCATCAAGGAGCCTCTACATCATGTGCCACATCCCAGTGTTCTGCTGGATCTCAGCCGCTGTTCTCGAGAAGATGTTGAGTCAAGCAGAGAGTGGAGAGATTCCCAAGACTCTCACTCAAATGTACACACACTTCCTGATGGCACAGATTAACATCAAAGACATGAAGTACAATGAGAAAAAGGACAAAGACAAAGAGATGATTTTCAAATTAGGGAAACTGGCATATGAGCAACTGGAAAAAGGCAACCTGATCTTCTATGAGGAAGACCTGAGAGAGTGTGGCATTGATGTGACAGAAGCATCAGTGTACTCAGGATTGTGCACTCAGATCTTCAGAGAGGAGTTTGGCTTGTATCAGGGGAAAGTCTTCTGTTTTGTTCATCTCAGCATTCAGGAACATCTAGCGGCTCTATATGTGCACCTCTTCTTCCACAATGGCGGCAAAAATGTGCTTGTAGTGGGTGAAGCAAAGGAATCAGATATTAATGTTATACTCAAATGTGCAGCTGATAAAACTTTAGAAAGTAAGAATGGACATCTTGATCTCTTTCTTCGCTTTCTCATGGGACTTTCAATGGAGTCAAATCAGGCTCTCCTAGATAGGTTTTTGATGAAAAGAAAAATCTTTCCCCAGGACACAGTGAAAACTATTAACTATCTTAAGGAAATTTTAAAAACATGTTGTCCAGAAATGAGTGTCCTTCTGTTCCACTGTCTAAATGAACTTAATGATCATTCTCTATATGATGAAATCCAAAGGTACATGACCTTGGGAAAAGTTAAAGAAATCCAGTCCCAAGAACTTGGGTTGGCTCTGATGTACATTTTAATGACATCAGATGAGCAGTTTGATGAATTTGAACTACGTAAATATGGTAGATCAGACAGAATCCTTAACTGGCTGCAACCTGTAATCAAGTTGTCTACCAAGGCCTGGTAAGCACTTTTCAGAATTTATTATACAGTATGTGTGAGTGCAGAAAAAAAAACCTCACAAACAAGCATTTTGTTGTGATTTGACAATCTTGCTTACTCTTCCAGGTTGCATGACTGCAATATCACAGAAAGCGGCTGTTTAACACTGTCTACGCTTCTTTCATCACTATCCAATGTGAGAGAGATGGACCTGAGCCACAACAACCTGCAGGACTCAGGGGTAGAAATACTCAGTGCAGGAGGAAAGAAATCACGCTATGCACCAAAACTGTGTGTCTCTATGGAGTAAAGATAAATATGACAACATTTTATTAAAAATACAGTATTTACATATGAAGACATTTAATGAAATATTTCTGTCACTTCAGAATGAGGAAATGGTTAGGCATTAAGGAAAATGAAGAAAACAATCTCCATTATGAAGCTTTTATGTCTGCCACTGCTGGACTACAGGACACAGAGTGCACACTGGAATCCTTGAAGTAGGTCCTGTTAGCATTCTTTAAAAATACTTTTAAATGAGTCCTTACCCAGAAAATTGTGCAACATGAATTTTTGCTGTTAGATTGAGACTACAAATGTATTACCTCTTCTCTCTGTAGTCTGGAGAACTGTGGAGTAACAGAAGCAGGCTGTGTTTACCTGAGCAAAGCTCTGAGTTCAAACCCTTCACACCTGAGAGTGCTGGACCTGAGCTGTAATGACATAGGAGACTCTGGAGTGAAACATCTCTGTGCTTCTCTGGTGAAAGTTCAGTGTGCATTTGAAACACTGAGGTGAGTTATAACACAAATAGCTTATACAGTTAATTCTGAAATAAATTTGAAGTTAATAATGACTAAGGAGGCTTTTAAATGTATTTAACAGGTTAAATAACTGTAACATAACACACAAAAGTTGTATAGCATTGGCTAAAATACTACAAACACCTTCAAACCTGAAAAAGCTCTCTCTAAGTGAGAATAAGCTCCAGGACTCAGGTGTGATGCTCTTCTCTATTGGACTGCATCATCCTCACTGTAAACTGGAGACACTCAGGCAAGATGATTCTGAATACTTCTGGTAGAATAAGTAAACAACAAACTGACCATTAAACTATTTTGCTTCATGGTGGAGGGTTTTTGTTTTGTAAGGGCTACCTCTGAATGTTCAAAGCCAAAGTAATTGGGACATAAACATCATAGACACTGGAAAACAAGCACAGGGGATTACTGTACTTGTCCAATATTTAGATAAGTGTTCAACAAATATGGTTTTTAAACCATTACTCTCAAACGTAAATATGTCTCCCATTTATGTACAAGTTCTTACCCTAAAGATGTGATTTCCCCCCCCAATAACAGTGAAATACATAATTTGACAAGGTCAATATTGAAAACTAACACAAAGAGAAATACTGATAAAAGCCATGAGAAAAACATAAATGTGACCATGATTTTTAAAGGCATGATTTTTAAAGGCATATTTATTTTGAGCCTGATCCTCATGAAACAAAAAAACAAACATAACTCATTAGGCTTTTACTATCATTAACAGTTTCTTGATTATACTAATTTAAAATTTTCTGCTATCACTATCAAATCAATCAAATATACTGGAATTTCTACTGTTGAGAATGTTTGGACTTTCTTTCAAAAGGCTTTCATGTTGCAACATCAAACCAGGAAGCTTAGGATCTCTTCTTTTTAGATTGAGACTACATATGTATTTTCTCTTCTTTGTAGTCTGAAGAACTGTAGAGTAACAGAAGCAGGTTGTGTTTACCTGAGCAAAGCTTTGAGTTCAAACCCTTCTCATCTGAGAGTGCTGGACCTGAGCTGGAACGACATTGGAGACTTTGTAGTTAAATATCTCTGTGCTTCTCTGGTGAAAAGTCATTGTGCATTGGAAACACTAAGGTGAGTTATAACACAGTTAGTTTATATAGCTCATTATTAAATACATTTAAGGTTAATAACTGTATAATTACTAACCCTAAAGAAAAAACCCTAAAAATGTGATTTTTCACCCCAATAACAGTGAACTACAGAATTTGACAAGGCCCGTATAACTGAGAACTGATAACTGTAAATTATGAATTTCTGTCTCAGGTTGGACAAATGTGAAATCACTGAGAAATGTTGCACCGCTTTAGCTTCAGCTCTCAGCTTAAAGACCTCCAGTCTGACAGATCTGGATCTGAGCATTAATGATCTGCAAGACTCAGGGGTGAAGAAGCTCTGTCTCGGACTACAAAGTCCTCACTGTAAACTAGAGAAGCTAAGGTAAAAGTCTGGAAATGTCTTATTTAGTGAAATCAAAGATCCAAAACCACTGAAATCAGATGAAGAAATAGCAAAAATCACTGACCTACATTTATAAATCTACTCTGCTCTCTTCAGGTTGTCCAAGTGTAAAGTTACACATGAAGGTGTGACAGCACTGACTGAAGCTCTGAAATCAAATCCATCCCACCTGAAAGAACTTGATCTCCTTGAGAATGATCTGGAAGAGTCAGACTTAAATGTGCTCTCCATGATATTGGACAAGTCATCATAAAACAGTGATCATTTAGATAACTCTAGAAATAAACACTCAAGCTTTTAACATTGTGAGTAGTAATCACACATGAGACTGTGAAATCATGATAGAATCTAACTTAAAGAGATAGTTCACCAAAAATTTAAATGGTCATCATTTATTCACCCTCATGTTGTTGCAAACCTGTATGATTTAGTTTTCTTCTGTTGAACACACAAGAAGATATTTTGAATGTTGGTATAAAACAGTTGCTGGTAGCCATTGACTTCCATAGTATTTTTTTTCTCCATACTGTGGAAGTCAAAGGCTACCTGCAAGTGTTTGGTTACCAACATTATTCAAAATATCTTTTTTGTGTGTGTTCAACATACAGGTTTGAAACAACTTGAGGGCAAGTCAATAATGGCAGTATTTTTATTTTTAGGTGAACTATCCCTTTAAGATTATAAAGACTTTTAAAGACAAATCACAATTTGTATGGACTAAGAGTTTGGATAGTAGGTTTTATAAAGGGTTACATACAGTATACTGTATTCAAAGTAAATGATGTAGGTGTATTTTTCTATTTATGAATTTGGTTATAAAGTTAACTAATATGATGTTATCACTTTTATAAAGAGTTACACATATGTAATATATGTAAATAAATAAATATAATAAATGTACACATACATAAACCTTACCATTCTTCATGTCTAGTATATTGAATTTAGGAAAACTCCAAAACAAGGTTGATGGTTCAGGAACAGAGATTTGAATGACATGGGGTCAAGAGAAAATCCAAGACTATAATAAGCAAAAGGCAGAAAATCAAATCCAGGAAAAGAAATCCAAATAGATAGAATACGAATAAACCAGACTACAAGACTGACCATTAAACCTGAACCAGGATATAGAGAAACCTGCATAACTGACCAGGTTTCGAATGACATGACTGTGACTGATGACATTCATTTTAGGTTGAACTATTGTTTTAAGTATTGAGATGTGCATAAAACAAAAGTCAAAAAAAAAGAAGAAGCAGAAAATCGTTCAAATAATGGTGGTTCTGCTCGCATCTAGTCTACTTGTTAATAAGTGCAATATACAAAACTAAGAAAATCCTTCAAAAAGATTTCAAAATTCGCCAAATCTAGTGATTATTTCATCCTCAAAAACTTTGTTACACGGCAGACTAATGTGACTGGTGTGCCCTTATTCAGGGAAGTTGTGCAAAACCAGCCAATTAGATTTGCACTTGCTGTACTGAGAAAGTGCTTTTCATTTTTGCGTGCAACAAGCATCAGACGTTTAGTGGGTGTGACAACTGAGGCTGAGACTATAGGCCACTTCCTTAATGCCACAACATGCTCACATATGGAGGAGCAGGTAACCCATGAAAAAGCAAAAAACAGCACTTTGACTGACTGATTTATGAGGACAAGCAGGTTGAATTCTGAAAACACAAGGTAAGCACCACTGCAAAGATAGAGAGAACAGCCTTTGATAGATGGCAGGCAACACAAGACCTCCTGAGTTGGAGCTAAAATACACCTGACACTCATTTATACTGTAAACTTGCAGATATCTCTATCAAAATGAGATAACTGGTAAAAAAAAAAAAAAACATGAAAAATCTTTATGCTTTCTCTGGGAAGTTGAACATATCAAATAGTATGATCACAAAATATAATTGTATTCTCATGTTCAGTCAGATATTGCCAGGTAATTGACTTGTGTTACATTTCAGACTGACGAATGACGAAAAAAAAAAAAACCCAGTGCTTAAACAATGGGCATATCCAAATGTTTCTCACACATTTCTATTTTGCCAAAAACCTTATGCATAAAAGTCTTCTTTTTTTTCAGATTGTGTTGAAAAATAAACATATGTGAGACATATGGCCAAACACCATGTCTCTAATAAATGCCAAAGGTTTTCTGCACCTCTTTAAATGGACTGAAAGGGTGAGTGAGGGTTGATTACTTACAGTACTGTAAGTATTGCACTTATGTCCACATAAATATAATACAACTAGATTGTACACTGATTGCAAACTAGCCTGTCAAGACAAGAGTGACGGATCAATGTCAGTATTAGTTCAGCTAAAAGATTCTACTTCTATCATAAATGCGCAGATACTAGCATATTAAAATTCTAAATTGTTTAAGTTACATTTAAATTCAAATTATATTGACATTTAATCTTGATTTAATGAATGTTGCATCTAACAGATTCAATCAGGAGGGATCAGATTAACCTGCTGCCAGTGTTTTGTCTTTAAAGAGTGACAGATCAATGCAAATGCCAATTCACTTAACAAATAAAACACATCTACCACATCTAAGGTATTTTTACATCATATTTGAATGAAATCAAGAAACAAGCAGGCACTTTGTTTACCCATGACATACTATAATAATGTGCTATTTATACAACCATAATTCCACAGAAGTTGGGATATTTTGACATTTATTGAACAAAACTGTTAAAATACTGTATTATAATGTAATAGAGCCACTGATCTATATATAATTATAAAATAATATAATATAATCTCTATTATAGATCAGTGAATACATATTAACCTGTTTAATCCCAAATTTTTCCCAGACATGAAAATATCCAAATGATGTCATTAGTAACCCTTTGAAATAATCAATTATTTTTTTTATTGAGCGCGCAAAAGACGCGATATGTGAACGGCCCCTAAGTCACTTCCTTGTTGGCTTCACGAGAGAGAGCGGGAGGTTGCCGCTCGGTATCGATATTATCGATATATCGATACTTCGGGTCGATACGCCCATCCCTAGAACGGAGCCGCTGTGAGACGCACGTACGTAACCTACACGCCTATAACTACATCACATATAATTATTTAATGAAATCGTAGCGTTTGTGAATTCACAGTTAAGCTTAATTATGATTTTTAAACAGGTTTAATATATCACGAGGCCTTGGAAAACAGTCTTGTGTTTTACGGATTCTCGTCCACTACTGTTAAAGCTACTGTTGCAACCCTTTCATTTGTCACTATGAAACAACTTAAACAATTTTCTACTGAACCAGGATATTCAGTGAGAAAAACTAAGGTTGAACTTGATTTTATCCATCAGGAATTCATTAAAAGATAAAAGTCACTATATGGAAGGTTTTTATTCGATAATAAAAATGTGGTCTTGGTGTTGTCAATCGTAAGTAAGGTAACGTTAAGCTGTTTCAGCGGTAAAGTAAGTTATTGCATTTTTTATGAAAGATTATGAGGAAAAAATTATTTGAAATGATACCATGAAAATGCAATCAAAATGTAAATAGAGTGACTTTTGAATTCATGTTGACTTTAAAGTAATAATTGACTCATAAATGGAAAATTATTTACTCACCCCCATGTCTTTACGATGCAAGTTTCTTTCTTCGGCGAATTGCAAAACGACATTTCACTGAGGAGAAAGTCCATAACAAATAACAACTGGTGTTTATTTTAAACGCCACGCCCAAAAAAATTCATGAATGTACTTCATATGACTGCAATATATATTTCAAGTCTCCCGAAGCCATACGATAAATTTATGTGAGGAACAAAGTGAAATTTAAGTGCTCATGGACTAATTATCGTCTTCTGTAGAATATAATATGCGATTGCGTCAGTTAAAAAATGGCGCCTTTGGATGGCGTTTGACGTCATCGACGCCCAACGTGTCACAAATCGCAACACGTTTAAAAACGTGAACTCTGTCGGGAATTTTATCTAAAAAAAAAAGAGCAGCTGACTTTCACTCAGTAATGACTCAAACTTTTGTTATGAAAAATGAAATGTTAAATGTGGATTATTTTATGAGGTCTGCATTTAAATCAAATCATGTGGATTATTTTTTATATATATAAAAAAAAGTTAATTTATCAGTAAATGACAGACTTTTTGGTGAACTTTTCCTTTAAAGTGATATTGTTTACTGTAATTTGTATAATTAATTTTTTGACTTGTTATGGACTGTCAACTTGCAAACTCAAAACCGAAGGCTTCGAATCTCTGGCTTCAGCTCTGAGGTCAAACTCTGGGCTGAGAGAGCTGGATTTGGGCAACAACAGACCTGGAGATCAGGGAGATAAGATCTAGAAATATAGTTTTTGATGAAGTTGGAAACTAACCGCTTTGGCTTCAGCTCTCAGCTCAAAGACTTTCAGTCTGACAGATCTGGATCTGAGTATTAATGATCTAAAAGACTCAGTCATGGGTGAAGAAGCTCTGTCTCGGACTACAAAGTCCTCACTGAAACTAGAGAAGCTGAGGTAAAAATGTGAAACCAAATCAGATTTCTATAAAACAACATTTATACTATTATTTGTTAACTTTTCTACTTTATGAAAATCCACTCTGCTCTCTACAGGTTGTCCAACTGTAACATAACACATGAAAGTGTGGCAGCACTGACTGAAGCTCTGAAATCAAATCCATCCCACCTAAAAGAGCTTGGGCTGCGTTTCCCGATAACAGTGTCTCTTAGCCTGCTACGAAGACTCTAAAGGTACACCTTAACTAGGGGTATACCTTTCCTAGGTGTGTTCCCCGAACTATACCTTAGGATGTTGGTTAAAGGGTTAGTTCACCCAAAAATGAAAATTCTGTCATTAATTACTCACCCTCATGTCGTTTCAAACCCGTAAGACCTTCGTTCATCTTCGGAACACAAATTAAGATATTTTTGATGGAATCTGAGAGCTGTCTGACCCTACATAGACGGCAACGCAACTGAAATGTTCCCAAGTCCAGAGCAAACCCGTAAGATCTTCGTTCATCTTCGGAACACAAATTAAGATATTTTTGATGGAATCTGAGAGCTGTCTGACCCTACATAGACGGCAACGCAACTGAAATGTTCCCAAGTCCAGAGACGTAGCAAGGAGATCTGTAAAATAATCCATGTGACATCAGTGGTTCATCCGCAATTATACGAAGCTACGCAAATACTTTGACGTGTCAGCTGCGTCACACGGATACACTGTTTTCGTTCAGATCAAATCACAACAACGTAGGAAACAGAGCCGGTGTGACGCA